CGTCCGAGCCGGTATGAATTTCTACTACCTTCATTCATGGTTGGTTTTTATCGTCTTTTTCTTTTTCCGAACAGCGGCATCTGCACTCCTTTCTGTTCAACACTCGATTTTTGAGTCCGGACTGGCGATCGACACGAGATCCTCAGAGAGAAACTCGTGGTTGGGTTCTCATATATATTGAATATTTTTACTCAATATATTAACGAGTAGAGAGAGCGGAGACAATTAAGCATGAGTGACTTGTCCAGAGTTATTATATGACTGGTGACACCGAGGTTTGAACTCAGTAACTAGTGATTACGTGACGAGCAAGTAACCACTCACAAGGGAACCTTTCCAGGTGCCCGATCGCTTTTGAGTCGGGACTTTGCGCATCTTGTAGGCCTTGATGAATTATGTCTACCATAGAAAAATTTCGCGCCCCTAACTTGGTCCTAGTGAGATATCGAGGTTTTAATGAATTTTCTCTATAAGACGCCACATTTGCAGCAAGGTCATATTTTTGAATTTCTATTTGAAATTTTGTCCACATAAACACTTCAACTAGACTAGTTTGCATAAAGAATTTCAGAACTTTTGGACAAAGTCTCTCCGAAATATGAAGCTTTCAAAAAATGTATGCTTTATACACTATCTATGGAAAACGACCTATACGTTGAAAGCGTCATATTTCGGAGAGACTTTGTCCTAAAATTCTGAAACTTTTTATGGAAACTAATCTAGCTGAAGTGTTTATGTGGGCAAAGTTTCAGATCGAAAATTCAAAAATATGACCTTGCTGCAAATGTGGCGTCTTATAGAGAAAATTCATTAAAACCTCGATATCTCACTAGGAACAAGTTAGGGGCACGAACTTTTCTATGGTAGATATAATTCATCAAGGCCTACAAGATGCGTAAAGTCCCGACTCAAAAGCGATCGGGCACCTGGGAATGTTCCCTTGTCAGGCATATTGTGCTCAAAAGATATTATAGCGAACGCTTTTACAGAAACGGAGAACTCATTACAGCGGTTTTTAATCTTTCTATGCTTTTGTCAGATAAAAAGAATCCTTTGTATATCTGAAACGTAAAACAAATAAAAAATTGTAAACACAATTCTGTTGGAACTATAATATGGAACTCATATAGATTCAATACCCTGATCAAACTAATATAAAATACTTAAAGTAAAATATCTTTCGTATGCTATGATAGTTTCCAAAGGCAGTCGATCGCTGTAGAACGAATCTGTCTTATCGATTTCCGAATTTCGAATAGATTTTCTTCCATTTTTAAAAAGGTTTCCAAGATCTGCAATGAGGATATTTGTAATGGAGAAGAAATTTTGCAAGATGACTTTCGTGAAAACTCTATTGTTATATCGAAAAACTATTAGTGTCCAATAAATATTTGAGTAACGATATTTTCAATATTAACTGTTGATTAAAAATTTTGTAATTCAATATTTAAGTATGTCTGTTTTCTAAGAATTCTTGATGAAATCATGGACTCTTCTTTCTGATATGTAGATATGGAATGCTTTTCTATTTCAGGCTTTACTATGATACAGTGTTCGATGCTGAAGGCAATAGTTATTTCAGGTTCAATGTACAACCACCGGCCAAAAACAATTGTCTATGTGCATTGGATAACCAATGTGCACTTCAGATGAATTGTTATGTACATGACTTCACCCAACCTCTGATAAGAACTTTTTCTATTCCGAATTTCTTTACTGGATGTACTCCTATGGGTTCTGTTCGCTTATCGTCACTCGAATGCTTTTCTAATCAATCATGTTTGGATATAATACTTAGGGTGTTTGTAGACAGTGAGGCACAACCAATAGAAACACCGATTCTATTATTTGATGGCAGTCGTTTTTTGCCAAATACAATAATGAGTAATGTTATAGACGATCTCATGATTGATCGATGGAATGTGAATATCGACTACAAACGCTACTACGATCAATGTAAGCCCCTACTGTGTTCCTTCACATATACAATGCAGGGTAAACCATTTTACATATTCTCAACAATTATTGGCATGATTGGTGGACTTGTAATGGCACTTAAAATAGCGGCGCAAATCATTGTTAGAATAATACGCAATCGAATACGACCCAAAATGCAAAATACAAATAATATAGGCAAGTCATTGAGGATTTTAGCAGAAAGTCTATTTCAGCAGATCCTTCTTCTAAAGAAAACAAGAACAGACTGCAGAAAGTGTTTCATGCAAGGTCATCGCAAAGCCGTCAAAAAAGAGAAAAGCCGACGGAAAGAACTTGAACGAAGCCATCTCGCTTTTCTTCTATTCACGACGATCCTATTTTGGTGGACAATGGTACCTTTTAAAGTTTGCTAGTATTTTATCTCATAGGACAAGCTTTAGTTGAACATTTTTCTTCAGTTTCTCAGTAAGCTGCCAATCTTTTTCTAGGTTTGATTTTCTAAATTTTTCTGGGCAAAGAGTTTTAGTAAAATGAAATCCAGAAAATGATCTGAAGCAAAGACTACTTCTAGCATTCTATTTGAGGTACTAAATTTAAAAAGTTGTATCAAATTTTGCATCAGGGCTCAAAACTGGCGCCTCGCTCCTCTTCAGGAATCCTTTTTTCGGGTCACGTGAATGATTCTCATTGTCGAGCCAACCCGAGCCGACGCTTTTATTTCTTTTTTCAGTTTTTACCAAACAACATGCCTATTATAAATGATGGAAATTATCAAAAAAAATGCGAAAGTAGGAATATCAACTTATATTTGATTTTAATTTAGGTTTTGAATAAATTATTTTATTCGTAATTTAAATTAAAAAATAAGAATAAATGATAGACGATTTACCCTATTTTAAATGTGTATTATTTGCACTTAATTTACAATTTAAAATTATAAATATCATTACACGGTAGTATTTCCATTTTTTTTATGATTTCACCCAATTCAGAACAATAATGGACGAGAACGGATCGAAATTTTAACGAAAACAAGATCCTAAAAGGTGCACATATTAAGGCATTTAAATGAGGTTCAAGGTACCGAGCGATATATAACCGTTCAGAAACTGAACGAGTTACGAACGCATTAAAATATTCACTTTTTAGAATTATATTTTTTTTAAATTTCGTCTCGGTTTACTTCGTTTTTTTGTTTGCCTGAGTTCGATGTAATAATAAAAAGAACAGGAATAATACTATTCAATGTGATTTTTAATTTAAAATAAATTTAGTTGTCTATCATTTAAATTTATCTTAAATTCACAGAATAATGGCATCTCTGTATGATGAGAAAAATATCCAAATTTCAATTCAAGTAGAATTAATCTGATGAAATATAACAATTGCTTATATCAGCCGTATCTCTTCTTCATGTGTAATGCTCCATATTATATAAATTACGTTACTAACGTAAGGAAGTGATTGGTAGAAAAAGCATACGTTGAAAGTGAGTGATCGTCGAAAAACAGAGTTGCCAATAACACTATCTAATTCTTCAAATTTTATTAATGAGAGAATGCATCGTGAACATTCGATTCTTTTTGAAAAAAAGACGATCTTATCCATTTGAGCGTGTGGAAAAAATTTTGATATCTTAAGTGTACATGTTCATCTTCAAACTTGAGTTATGAAAATCCTTTTTTCTAATATACAAATTGTTTTTGACTGTGTGATAACTCCCTAAGTGTTCGAAATCGTAAAAGAAGCATTTTCACTCAGAAGTATGGGACACTTTCCATAGATGTACATCAGTCAAGAATTATACCATGTGATATTCAGTTATGCATTAAGATCATTATTGAGGTTAAAAATCTTACAACATATTATGTTGCTTTTCTTGACAAAACAAGCAATTCAAAAATCTCATATAAATTTTTGTTTCAGTTACTGTAGTGATTTTCAAATTTTATTGAGAAAAAGAATTTATAAACCGAAGTCTTTTTGAGATCCGACTAAACAGAATTTGAATTGGGCGGAGGCAGTCTAAATAATACTCGGGTCACTTTTGGTAGGACCGAAAAAACGAAGGTGTCTCGTTTCAAGCCCTATTCAGTACAACCGACTGGCACATGAACATTTTCTGTCTAGCTTTTATATTTCGAACATATTACTTTATTGGTTTAATACCTGATGATTCTGTTAGGCTGTTAGTTGAGAAACTGCTATGAATCTATTTTGTTTCAGCTCGACTTAATTTTCTCGATCGTATACGTTATCTTAAAAATTTGCTTAAGAAACAAGTAATGCAACTTAATCTTTTCGAAACTAAGTTATCATGGAATAATGAAGAACGTCGTCAAACAGAAATCATTACTACGCGACTTTACTTACTTGTCCTTTCCATATGTATTATCATCGTGTCAATTTACACATCAAGCAATATTCAAGCCCGATTTTATACCTTGATAAACCCATCCGAAACAACTTTCAATCAATTTTATTCAAATTCACACTACCTACCTACTCTAGATTGTCCTTGTCAGAACCTCACTATCCCATACAATAGTTTTGTTCAGATTATTCCCCATTTTCATCAAATCTGTTCAAGTGACTTCGTGATTTCAAATATTCAATGGGCTACATTTTTTTCTTCGTTTATGTACAATTCTAACTATATCTATGACGACTTTCGAATTTTTGCCGTGCCACTTTTCCGAGGGCTTGCCTCCTTATGCACTATTGCCAATGTTACAGTGGCTGATGAACTACTTATATTCATGTCAAATACATTGATTAGTCAACGAGCCGAGTCCAACCATACTATTCAATCGAAAATGAGCTCTGCTGTCACACAGTTTTATTTATCAACAAGTAAAGTGTTCAGCGTTCGATTCGATTACATTAAAGACATACAATACGGCAACAGAATAATCTCATCAATATTATCGAATTGGTATTTTGATTACCGCAAAAAATCAGCGAGGGATGTGTTCGGGTTTAGTCTCACCGTGTCGCCACGCTCATATGCAAATAATACCTGTGTCTGTGGCTCTAGACCAGCATGTTTGTCACCGGCATTTATGGACGAATGGCTCGTTCCCGGATTTCGAGTTGGTTGTAATCCAATTGAATCTCTTCTACAATCTACTCTCGAATGTCTCTATAATGTAACATGCATCGACAAGATCAAACCAAATGATTCTACATCAGATATGATCTTTCGCGCTCTTGATTCTACACGATTATCACCCAATATGTCTGTTCAGTCTCTAGTGGATGCTCTTTTGGTCGATCGATGGGAAACGAATGTTGTTTATGAGTATTACTATAGACAATGTGCTCCTCTCTACTGTACTTATTCACTCAACATGCGTTTCGATAAAGTATATGTTTTTACTACCATTATTAGTCTTTCTGGAGGGTTGACTATTGTACTTAAACTTGTCATTCCAATTGCAGTTAAATTTGGGCGATATATTGCTATGTATTGTCGAAGACTGGTTCGACCAACTGTTACTGTAACTGCATAAAACATTTTAAAAAAATCCCTTATGACGTTGTGCGTAAGATTTTATTTAATAGATATTGTTCTTTATTGCAATTATGGCATTTTCTTTAAGCAAAAGTCTATTGCAATATATGTTTGGATGTCTGCTTGTCTGTCTATTCTATTGAGTTGAAAAGCAGCATCGACAAATTGTTGAAAACTAGAAAGAGATATCTAGAAAGAAACTATGATGTGTGTGGTTGTCGATATAACTTTTTCTGAACTCCCATATTCACACCTACACCAGTAATGATAAATATTATTGTTCAACGGCTAAATCTTTTTAAATTGTACTAATTTCAAAATAGAATGCCCTTTCTTAGCTGCATTTTCTTATCCGTCTGTGATTCAATGTATGCCACTATATTCAAATGCGTTGAAACAAAAATTGATGTCAAATCACGTAGAACAGTATGGCCTCTCTAAGATGAGTTGATACACCTGCCATGAAGTGCATTAATGCATTTTAGTAATTATTCTGTTGATTTATTTTAGAAATCCAACGAAATAGTTTACATCATCACTTTTCAACACAGATTAAGTTCATTTCGTAAATGGTTTTAATTTTTATCTTTTGCGATAGTTGATTCCATTGATAGATTTATCATTAAAAAAAATTAATTGAGAAAGAAATTGAGAAAAATAATTTTCAGATATATGAAGTTAATCTCAACTGTTGAACATTATAGAAATATTATTTTATTGCAATATTAGATTTAAATTACATTTAGCGTAAGGGTGTGGGTGTGGGGGTGTGGGTGGGTGTATGGGTGTGGGTGTATGGTTGTGGGTGTGGTTGTGAGTGTGGGTCTTTGTCTGGATGTTATTGAAGCCGAGACTGACACCCACAGCTACACGCCGACTCATCCACACCCGCACATCCACACCGACACAGACACCCACAACCACAACCTAGATGTTAAGCTGGATTTTCATTGAGAAATATATTGCGTTATTCATTATCTTCATCGTATTATCGACAAGCATTTTTGTTCTTTTTCGTTCCTTGCCATAATCATGTATTTTATTGTTAAATCATTATTTTTTTTTGAAGTTGAACACTGAATCATCCTCCACTAGCCTACGAATTAATACTGAACTTCGGCTATACGTTTGTATGAAGAAACGAAAACGAATTATATAACAAGGATAAGTGCTTTTAATTAATTGTTTTTATCAATAACGATGACCAAATTAGATGATTGTCATATTCCACAACAGTCAGTCTCCATTGATCTATGGTGACTGACCTTTCAATTATTCTATCGGCTATAGAGCTAATCAAAAGATCAACATATAAGATTTTTCCGAGGTTTTAGTGTTCAGATGGTGTATGAGAAACGATACCATCTTTTAAAAAATTTTCAAGTTTTTCCAGGAAAATTCGCATTTTATTAAAAATACGATAAAAATTAAGAAAAATTAAGTATATATCATTTTTGCTATAAAAATATTCGTAGCAGCCACCCTTCTCCGCAACATTTGTTTTTTTCTTCCCCTGCATGCATGCTTTTATCTAATTCTTTTAAAATAATTTGATGAGCTTCGTGGAATAAATCACTGAAATGTAGTTCGGATCTTACGCAAGCGGATCAGGGGGTGGAGCGGGAGCTGCTCTGAAAAATATTTTAGAGAGTTCAGTGAGGCAGGTTTGGCATTCGTCACGGATGGGACCAGCGGGATATAAAAAAAATCAATAACCCGCACATCTCTGATATAGTTCTCTATTTGTGCTTCCATTTTTTTAATTATTGCAAAAGATCCATGAGAATGAACTGTCATTCCAATGAGATTTTTGTTGTGATATATGATCTAGAGAAATAATTAATATTGTCTATTTAATTACATCAAAAGCTATGGATTCATTTAAAATTGCAAGTTAATTTTATTTCTTTTCTATGCATATTTTTGTTCTGGAATGTTTTGCAACAAAGACTTATTTTAAAATGATCTCATAGTACGCAGTATCGGAGAAAAATACGTCCTCAGATGTTTCTTTTTCTATTGGTGAAACCTAAATATCTCTAACTGTTTACATTCTTAAGTTATAACTGAAGTTCTTGTATACTTGAATAGACTCTTCATTTCGATTAACTTTGATTTAATCTTGAATGATATTTTTTTTTGTAAAAAGGCTAAAGCATGAATGAAAATAATGACGCAGACTCATAACGTTATCTGGATAACAAAATATTACCATTCAAGAGTTATCCATTAAAAAGAGATCAGTCTTCTGTTGATTGATATTAAATGTGTTGTTCTTTCACTAAAATATAAACTCGTTAGTAGGACTATTAATAGTATTTAAAATGTCATTCTAACAATAAGTGATTAATTTTAAAAAGTAGACAAATAATCAAAACAAGTCGATAACTTGTTTGATATGATAGAAATAATAATGCATTTTTTTGTTGATTAATTAGAAGTGAACTAGATTATTAATAAATATCCCTGCTGATTTTCATGTTGTATGAATCGATTTCTGAAAAAGGTTATTTGTATAAATAAGATTTATAAAACTTATGCTTCAGGGTGAAAGTTAATATATATGTTGATATTATTCAAGATCCACCCCAAAACTCTCACTCGCCTTTTTTTTAATGACTATGAATACAACCAGCGCGTATAATAGCACAACATAATATCTTATTGAAATTTTTATTTTTGTGATGTTGGTTGAAGTATGACGAAATTGCATAGAAAGTAAGTTCCTTGAAATTTTCATACACGGTATTAAAGTATCACTCTTGTTACTTTTGACATATCCTAAGTATTATTTCTCAATTTCGAATTTTTGATGGTTACAGCATCGATCATTTCCATCCTATAAAACTTTTCGAAAAAGCAAAACAAAATACTATTCAAGTCAGTGACAATGTTGAAATTAACTGTCAGATAAACGGTGCAAAAGTGTCTTCGAACTAATCACAACTTTAATGTTGAGGCTAAATTTGTGTATGAATGAATCTTGCAGATTACAAATTTGATAGGGGGTATTGTTGTTCTCAGGATTCATGTTATATAATCATTAGAAGAATTGTTTTTTTTTTGGAGTTTCAAAGTGAAACATCGATCATGAGCATAATGCACAGATACGATTGCCTAATTTGTATAACAGCCGAACGAATAATGGGATAACAGAACGAAGTCCTAATGAGAGTCCATCGATTACAGTTAAAAAAATTGTTACTGCATAAATAACATTCAAACGCTTTTTCTTCAAATAAATACACTTTTTTGGTGCACATACATTGTAATATCGTTCATACAATGTTTCATTTGACCAAGAATCAATAAACAACTGATAAACCATGGTTTCGATTGTGTCATTAATGTTAAAATTAGATATTGATGATGGAAATTCTAGTGGTGAAATATCGATTGTTAAAGGTAGCGTAGACGAATTCGAGTCGCCACGATTCGTTGCTTTCATGAGATTGATCATACGTGAATTTGAAAAAAAGTAAGAGAGAGATAAATGCAGAATTGATTCAAGCAAAAAACATCCAGTATAAATATTTTCAATAGTGTAGACGATGTCATGAGTGAGATTATAGAAACTTGCCAATTCTACACAGTTAATCGAAGTTGCACATGAACAAGTTCCATTATTATGCGTTTTTGGTATAACAAGAACAGGATCATCGATAGCTATTCGATCTAACTTCAATTCTAAACTAACTCCCAAATGCGATATTAAACCATGTCCTACACTAATATACCGAAAAATTTGTAGTTGACGATCAAATAGAATCGAAGTTAACTTTTGAAATAATATGAGTGTCATTTCAATCTGTGTTTTAAATAAAATGGGAGGCATAACTTTAGATGATACAAATGAATCCAATTTAAACTGTTCCATGGCACCAGCAACATTTATAGAAGCTTGTTCACAAGATTTTTTCAGGAAATTAAAGAACTGAACACCCCAAATACGAAAATCATCTGGTTGAAGCCATGCTACAAAAAGAGATTAGTACCTAGGGTGTGGGTGTGTGTGGGTGTGGGTGTGGGTGTGGGTGTAGGGTGTGGGTGCTGACAGGAGAGAATCAGTCACACTGACACCCTCACCCACCACAAACCCACACCCACACCCACACATCCACCCACACCCACACATCCACCCACACCCACACCCGCACCCACACCCACACACCCACACCCTTTATGATAGAAATGGCTCTATTACTATTCGATATATTCTATACTGAAGAATGTGTAAGTAAAACTACATTTCTTAAATGGCTTAAACATCCAGATCCATCTGAAATTGAAGGTAACAAAAAAATTTTTTTCCACAAATTAATACAAATATATATCGTGTAGGGCATACTGTTGTTGAAATATCAACGAAGGATTTTTTTACTTGGTTACCTCAAGCTGAAGGCGAAGAAGAAGAAGGAGAAAATTAAATTCGTATCAGCAAACAAGAAAAAAACCATGCGATGGTAAATTCCTATTTCCAGGAAATTCAAATAAAGTGACCATAGCAGAAATTTCATGGAAATTTCATCGAATGCTTTTAATGATAATCATAGAGAATTCTTCTAATAAAAAAAATAGAGAAATGAAGTTGAAGTCTAAGTTAGGATTGGGTTGGGTTGGGTTGGGTTGAATGAGTTTGGGTTGGGTTGGGAAATTCAGTTTTATTTGTAAATATATATCTATATCCATGGGGAGTGGATTAGATTGGGTAAGAAAATTTATGTTATTACACACTGTTTTCAAAAGCTTCATTAGGGTGTTGATGTAGATGTCGGTGTGGGTGTAGGCATTGGATGACGGATATGCATTACAAAATAGTCCGGAATAATCGAAAAAGTAACCGGGGACTACGAGGGACTATAATTATCTTTATCTTTTTTCATATTCATAAGGTACCAGGGACCACCAGGAACTACAACACAGTACAACGGACTACCAGCAACTAACATTATCTAGCAGGTAGCGCATAAAACAAGAGGTGTTAAGATCAAGTACCGAGAAAGAACACTCAGACATCATATGCCTTAGTGTGGGTGCCACGGAAGGAATCTTGAGGGTGTGGGGATGTGGGGGTGTGGGATGTGCTTGTGGATGAAATTGAGAGTGTGGGTATGATGTGGCTTGTGGATGTGAGTGCGATGGTGGGTTCCAGTTTGCATGGGAGCGTTGTGCTCGGTACGTCTAGGTTTTGACTAATAGTTGTTGGTAGCGTCTTGGATGACCGAATGTCGGGCAGCAAGTACTTGCAGAAGCTGGCAGGTAATTTATGGTTGTCAGCTAAAATTGAATTCGGAACTAAAGTTTACCCTATGGCAACCTCAATAAATGTACATATTATCTATGATTACTTGTAAGCGAAAATGAATTTCGCAACCCAACCCAACCCAACCCAGCCCAACCCGAAATCAAACTATATATTATGTATATATAAAAATCCGTGCCATGATTCGATAAAAATATAAATAATAGAGATCTTTTATACGCACATTTTTTTATGAAGCAGTATCAGAACAGTTATATATATAATAATATAAAATGAGCCTCTATGTATGAAAATTAGCACTGGGTATTGTCACATTAATAGTGTTCGTTGCAATCTCCTGCAATTTAGGTGCAGCCAATTTTGAATTTCCTGGAAAGCGGAATTTACCATGCTCTCGTGGTGTGGGTGAGTGTTGTGTGGAAGTTGGGGGCGGGGGGGGGGGGGGGGGGGGGGGAAAAAGAAAAATAAGGGGAAGGATTTTTTTTTATGTGGGGANCTGGTTCAAAAACAGTGATAAACTTGCCAGGATCCTTGATAAACTTGTTTTAAATCTTGACAGGATCCTGCAATTCCGTGGCTACACGCTTCTTTCAGGATTTAGTCGTTTCCTCAGGAAAAAACATCGAATCCTTGCAGGATCTTGATCCTATCTTCCAAGGATCCGGGGCTGAAACATCAAAGATTTTCCCTAGGGGGGTGTGGGTGTGGGTGGGTGTGGGTGTGGGTGTAAGTAAAGAAAATAACTGCACACAGACCCCTACATCCACACTCACACCCACACTCACATCCACACACCCACACCCACACTCACATCCACACACCCACACGCATACCCACACGCACACCCACACGCACACCCACACCCACACCCACACACCCACACCCCCATCCCCACATCCAGTGATGACAATTCAAAGTTTTATACATCTGACAGTTGTAAGGATGCTTGGGGTTTTTAAATTAATTTAACCATTGATCAATATAAAATGAATTACTATGTCTAACAAAGTATCATGAGTTACAATCTGAAGAGGCTAATGAAAGTGATATTTGAAGAAATGATGTTGAAAGAAGAGTAAAAACATAAATTTCTCAAAAGTCCTAAAAGACAGCAACATAAATAAGCACCATTCAGAACCATTTATGAAACAGTGAAGTTAAATTATTATTCATTTTTGCTGATTTTGTAATATAATCGTAATATAACAATGAAACTACAATAACCATATTCGATCCAGTATGAATAAGTACTCTTATTACAAGACCAATGGCAATAGGAGACGGCAGAAAAACACTTTTACACTATAAAATAGAAGAAGACAAGAGATTTTTTAGATGTTTAGTGTTTTTAAACATTTTCTATGCTTCATGCAACATGTAACTATGACAGTCAGTTGAAGAAAGAAACGACTCAGCATCTTAGAATTTCTATTATTTTTCATCGTTTATTCTTCTTTATAACAAATTGCTATTTCTAACTTCAGGTAAGAGGTTGAGAGGTAATGATACACATGGTTGGCACATACAAGAAAAATAGTTCTTTTTTCTCCTTCACAACTATTTAGTTAAATGTTTTCTATTTCATACTTTCAGAAATTAGTTTTCCTATGTTAGTGAGCCTAATATACCTAGCGCAATTGAAGAGTAGTCGCGGAGGTACTTTGTTTTCTTACAGATAGCTTGAAAAAATTTTCTTTTTCTATCGCATGATAGAGAAAATCATGCTCTATTTTACTATGCTATCCGATTACTATTCAACTAATATTATAATAGTAAAATTTCGATAAGAACTCTTTTGTTAAAAACTAACTGGTAGCATTAGATCATAATGGACGTCGCATAAAAAATGGGGCATTCATGTGTTTTATGTTATCATTACTTAATACCTTGGATTAAAAAAAAAATATGCCACAAGATGTAGCGTGAAAAGCTCTACAATTGATAAAGGATCGCTTATTTTATAGTTGCACTTTTTGCTTTCAAAATGAACAGAAGTCTGAGTGACCAAATTTAGATGTTGAGAAAAATGAGATTTTTTTGGTAAAAAATGAATTCATTTTTTTTCCTATCCCATCTTTTTATAATTGTTCTTTATAATTGTAGGGCTTGTTACGCTGCATCCTGTGGTATATTTTGGTTTTTTAATACAACGTATTAAGTGATAATAAAATGAAATGCAAAAGTCCCCCACCCATAATGATCTAATGCTACCACTTAGTTTTCATCAAAAACGTTCTTATCCAAATTTTATTATTATGATATTAGCTAAATAGTGATGGAATAGCATAGAAAAATAGAGCGTAACTTTCTCTATCACGTCATAGAAAAAGAAATTTTTTTCAAGCTTTCTATAAGAAAATAAAGTACCTCCGCNACCTACAGCTAAAACAGAACAGATTTCTGCCTCAGATAGAATGTTGCAGTGCCTAAAACAACCAGCTTCTAGAATGCAGAAGACTCATTTCTCTTGCGACAGATAGAGCTTTTATAAAGCTACAAAATGATGCACAAAATATGTATGAAAATATATTGTTTTCGAGACTTTCCAAAGTACATACTGTCAAAACCTTATAGAAACTACATTTGTTTTGATTGTAGGATTGAACTTGAGGATGACGACTATTGATTTAGAGTGCAGGTAGATGTGGATCAGTCTTAGCCTTGTGTTCATCTACAGCCAGACCCACACCCGCATCTGCATTTATCGCTGGGGTATCAGAAATATGAAATTGGAATAACTCGACAGGCATTGGCGATGAACACAGTAAAGAACCAATGTACAAAAAATGTCTGAAACTAGAATCTGTCTACAGTAATAGGAGCATAGCTATCTCTACACTGTAACTTTACAGCTGTGTATCTATATATTTCTCTATGGCTTTCCTATCAAGAAATAAACACGGGAAACTTGTTTCTGAAAGTTCAAAAACCAAGTTAGTACATCTTTGTGCTCGGCGATCCCATAGATTGGATCCGTATCCGCTTAGACTACTACGGAATACCTTAATGAGTGCGTCTAAGATGTGGCCCAGTCACTTTCTCAACTTTCAAAGACAATTGCGTGGTCACAAGACTCTACACGATACCATAAGCCAGCAATACAATCCATTACAATCTGTCAAACTTACGATTCAAATTTTCTAGCTGTTTGATAGTCATCCACTTTCATAAATATTTTTGCATTAGTTTGTAGCTTTGCAAAAGCTCTGCTTACCCTAAGAGAAAGGGTTCCTCTGCATTCTATCTGAGGTAGAAATCTGCTCTTTTTAAGCTGATAGGCTCTCTCATGGAAAAGACTACGATGTGTTCCGAGACATAGTTCATATACGTATATTGGAAATAGTTTAGTGATGAAAGGGGAAATATTATTTGTAAGATAAAACTGTTTTGAAAAACGATTTTCGATTAGGGCCGATTTTGCTAGCATAACCCTTCTCGTCCTTTTTTTTGCTTGATAACTCCGTCGAAAATGACACTATTTGATAAAGAAGAAAATTTTACATTTAACACAAACTTTTCAGACACCAAACACAAAACAAGGAGTCAATCTGTGCTGAAAGTAACTCAAATCA